ACACGGGACTTTGCGGCCGGCATTACCTCCGCAAGTGAGGTACTGGATCCCGACGGTACTGCGACCACGACGGCGGTCGGTCGCGGTAATTGCGGCTTCTTCATCTTCGGGGCGGCTTTTCTCCAAGAACTTGAACCCAGGTGCCCCCTTCCTGCCTTACCGCTGGTTCCGGCAGGGTAGGCCTTCCCAGACAAGAAGCCTGTCTTGTTACCGGGGTCAGTAGCTGCCCCGCCGGCCCTTTCGTTTTCTTTTTCTTCTTTTTCCTCTTCTTCTCGGAGGAAGATGAGGGTGCAGTGGCTGAAGCAGCTTGCTGCCGCGCTACTGGAGTCCGTCCCTGGCCTAGAGGGGTTCTAGCACCTCTCTCTGGGAAGAACCTATCTAAAAACCCGGACTGGAATCGGGCAAACTCGCGGTTCATAATTGGATGGAACCAGCGGGCTCCGGTCCCATGCTCGACGAAGGCAGCGGGATTGTTATTGACTTTGCCACGGTCGGTGACGGGCGCCATTGACTTTATCCGGGTGAAAGATTCCTTGTTCGTCTGTTGGAGATCGCTCACCCTGTCCGCCAGCGACGATGATGACGCCTGGTTCTGTACTGGTGCAGAGCTCCTTCACGCCGTCCCGCAGAGTCTGCAGGGCCCGACGAATGGAGCCGTGCAGCGTGGTCTGTCCAATGTTTCCTCGACATTAGCCAGACTTAGCAGCATTTTGGCGCCAACCTCTGCTGAATACGGCTGGTTTGCGTCACTGACACTGTGTGCCCGCTTCGCATTTCCAGTTCCGTCCTCATCATCGTGTCGCCCACGCTTCCGCGACTGCCCCCGTATTTCCCTCTCCGACCCTATAGAGGCTGAGCTATCGCTCTCTCCGCCTCGCTCACCTCCATCTAGCGGAAGCGGAGTGGAGGGACTGGAGAAAGTTGTTCTTAATGATCGCGACCGCAACCGCCGTTCCTTACTTTCTGCACTTCAGCACTTCTTCTCTCTTGAAATCCGTTGTCCGTTATCGGTTAAGCCAATGTAGTTGTTAGATTCGTCCGTTATTGTTGGTTGTTGTACTTGGTCATTTACTTCCATAATTAATCCCACGAATATGGGGGAAATGCAGTCCATCCTTGCGGTGCCCCCTGCACCCGGATAAGCCTAAATACTGTAGAGTTCGGCCGGTTTCCATAGGTTTTAACGACTTTTCTGTCGGGTCTTATAGACTGTCCTTGTCCTGGGTCGGCCAATTAAGGCAAGGAGCCACCAGTTGGGTCGTTGCTGAGCTCCTATTGGTTACGAAATGCGAGAGGGTGGCTAGCCCTCCCTCACCGGCGGCAGCACTAGTGCTTGTCAGCCCCTACGTAAGCAGTGGGCCGACCCGCCTCTGGATTCCATACGAATCCCACCTCGGCCTTTGCCTATAACAGCTTCGCTCCAGTCTCCTCTGAAGAACAGAGGAGTACCAAGAGCGTTCCCTCCCCCCCCCTGCCGAGTTATTTGCCGGCGGCCAATACCCACCCCCGAAAGGGAAGTTATTGACCGTCGCCCAGGGTGCACCGGGCCCCTGCTTCCGTTCCCCCCTGACGCAGTGGTCAGGAGGGACAAAAAACATGGCGACGCACGTAGAGGTTACCCGACCCGCACCCCAAATATAGCTCACCTAGGACCCGTAATATTTTGTGGCCGTGGTGCTTCCCTGTTTAATAAAGGTGTATGCCTATTTTACTTCATTTTGTCGCCCGCTTTGCTAAGAAGGGAAGTAAATTTACTGTATTTCCAACTCCTCCAATTTTCTTCTGATTAATTTCGTTGCGGGTTTCAAGACAGTTTAATTTTTCCTTGGACTTCCCGAGTGTCATAATTCGGTGTGTTCGTGGGTAACTGCTGTGGATCCTGGTATACAGGAGTTACAGTGGTGGACGTGTGGGTGGGATTGGTCCCAAAGAAATTACACATAGATAAATACACATACATACATACAAACATACGTAAACATAATATATACATACACAACATATATATAAATACAGTCCAAAATATATATATATAATGAAACCGACAATATTTAGAATGTCAAATAATTTTTTTTAAAGGCAAGCTGTTCCAAAGTCTTACTGCTTGCACAGTAAAATATTTGTCTGCAAACTGGCTGGAATGTTGTGGCATTTTTAGTTTTAAGTCTTCCGATGACCTCAGGTCCCTGCAATGTGTGTAGTGTAAGAACTGAAAACGTTTTTTGATATAAGAGGGTGTGTGGGGATAAAACAGAACACTGTATTAAAGAGAAAGAATATGAAGATTCCGGCGATAACGTATTGGTAACCACTTAAGTTTAGAACGATACTCTGAGATGTGATCATATTTGCGTAATCCAAATATGTTTTAATACATAGGTTTTGGAGTTGCTCAAGTTTATTCAGTTGGTCTTCGGTGTGATCCAAATAGCTGACATCGCCATAGTCAAAGATAGTCTTCTCCAATTTAGGGGCCCCAGGACAGGTACCTATCCATATAGATCCCTAAGTTTTTAACTTTTTTACTGTAAGGTACAACCGAGCCATTGCAACAAACAACTGGTATTTGCTGAAAGTTTATTTTACAGTGCAGCCTGGGACAGTTAATAATAATAACCTACAATAATTACTTGTGTTTTGGTGGGGTTTACACTTAGTCCATACTCCCTACTCCAGTCACATATTTGCATTAAGTCTCCATTAAGGCCATCCGCTGCTTTTGTTAAATTATCTGGAGTAGCTTGTGAGTAAATTTGGAGATCATCTGCGTAAAGATGGTAGGAAGACAGTAATTTATTTGTGATTGAGTTAATAAAAACCGCGAAACGTAACGGTGATAACACACCGTCCTGAGCTACGCCCTATTCTACCATGTAAGACCAACGGATGTCTTGTCACTGATACAAATGTCGACGATGTCTTTATAATAGTTTAGTAAGCGGTACATTTTAAATTTGTAAGAAAATAATATATTAAATTTTTCAGGTATGGCAATGTTGTTGATATCACCATTGACGACGTGAATTTTTGTTAGGAGAATACTGATATTTTGACCGATGCCAATGGCGTCTCAATGGCATCTCAATAGCGTGTCAATGGAATGACAGTGACTTGGCGTTAACATAAAATAACAGAATTGAGGCCCTGATGTCCATGTTTAATCCAATCAATAAATGTTAATAAACATAATTTCGTTGTTTCGACATACTTAATAAAATATTTGTGTACACATTTTAAAGGGAAGTATGATTACTGAAATATAGACAAGTACCCTTAGGATATCTGACTTGCATGGATATATTTGATAATCTTGTAATATTAGTATTTCAACATATTTTTGGATGCTTATGATAAACAGATATTTTTATCATGACTGACTGTACATCTGCAGTACCACGCCAGTATGATACTGCGCTGAACACTCATTACTCTTCTTTATCCCACATTTCTTCTGCCGCTCGCAGCTGTCTGTATACCCCTGCCTAACCTCTCTGGGTTTCGTTTTCGATCCTATTTTTATTCATCATTTTTCGTTCGATCGTCTTTCTTTAGATAATTTCCGAACCCCTTACAATGTCCTTAACTTTATTATAAATATTTCAAGTTTAAAAAAAGGAGTTTCCTTTTCAAGGCTTTGCCATTATTATGGTAATACAAGTTTTACCATAATAATGGCTGAGCCTACGAAATGTTTTAGAATAGAAATTCACTTTATAAGTATAAATAATATTCTTCGGTATATAATGAATAGATCTTAAAAACATTATTGTATGCCCACGCCACGCTAGTATATAAGGGCAAGGACACCAATCAACAACATGTGTGTAATATAAAATACATCTTATAGGAAAATTACCGCTAATTACAAATATAAAATAATACTTACGCCTCTATCCCCAAAGGCATATTATTACTTCTCGCGAAATAGGGACAATCTTATTGCCGTTAACTAACTACTAATAAATTTTCGCAAGCTACAAATATACATTTACCGTAACGTTAAAAAGTGAATACCAGATTGGTCAAAATTATACATAAATATTAATGCTTGTCTGTACGTACATATATCGAATACAGGGATTGAACAAAGGAGATAGCGCAAGATTTAGCAAAGAAAATAAAAATAAAAGTTTTGAAGAGATGATATTATGATGATATTATTTCATAATAATAAGTTTGTTTTTGAAGAAGCCCAGAGTTGTTCTTACAAAAGCTATGATTTAATGAATATTATTTTTCGTATCATATTCACCCCAATTACAAAAACAAAAAGAGATGATTTACGTAATTTATATCACAGTTTAGTTAACAATCTACTTAAAAAAAATGTAGGAGGATCAGTTTTAATTCCGGCTGTAATATTGTCTCTCGTAGTTTTTTTATAGAATTGACAACGTAGTAGTGACGTGGTGATTAAACGTCCTTAGGCTATATTAGCGATTACTTTAAAAGCCATTTGTTTGTGTTACAATTAGAATGTCTTGTGAATTTTGATAAACGGTGAATATTAAAATACCTATAATGTGTTATGATAATAATAATATATATACTTTAGAATCAAAAAGTTTAGATAGGAAAATTTAATAATTACTGACTATTTAGTAGATGAATTTGAATATACAATTATTTCCACTACTTAAAATCGATGTATGCAATACTACTTAGTGATAGTGTTATTATTAAGGCTTCTTTAGAATCCTCATTCGTAAAGTTCTGGAAATTCATAAACTTTAAAGATTTTTATCTGCCTTACACTGCGTTCTTAGTACCTACCTAAAATATGATTTATTTTAAAAGAAGACTACTCCCGCAATATAAATATATCCTGCGTCGCGGGAGACTTTAAAAATATACATGAAACGAACACAAAGAACAGCCAGACCCAGAACAAAATTTTTGTAAATCATACAAAGTGTTGTCCGATTTGGCGATCCAACACTCAGTAGGAGTCAATTTATCGCGCACAATCCGTTTTAGTGTCTCTACTATATTAAACTTACCTTTTAAGTACACTCGTTCTAATCGCCTTGGTCCTGCCAGAAGACGTGCTTTCATATGCCTCAGCATATTTCCTTTAAGATTTATTTCACGTAATTCTCCCATTTCAGAAACTACCTCGGCTGGAATCTCCCATAGGTGTGGCATACCGTGTACTGTCAGTTTCTGATAACAAAGTAACTAGTAAGATATTTATTATCTACTATTTTGTATGTGATGTGATTTTATCTAGATCTATAAATAGCTTAAATCAATCAGACATCGGGCTTTTTCAAACAATGGAATAATGTAAATCATTTTCAAAGTTTCAGCCAGATCAAAGAACAGTTAGTAGTTAATGTAGTTAAACATCCACAAGGTTAGAAATCTATTTTTACTTGTGGAAACTCCCCAAGGTCTAGTCCCATTATTTAGAGGATTTTCGAGTGTGACTTAAACTGTCTGAAGCCACAAGATTGAAATAGGAGGTGCTCCGTTAACGATTATTTGTCACCATAAACGCACTGCTCAACGAATTTGTTACTTACATTTATTTCACTATAGATTCGTCGAGATTTTTTTTTTTAATATCTAAACATGCGCTACATGTGAATAATCGTTTTTCTTTTTATTTGATTGTATTGTTTTTATAGATGAAGGGAGGAAACTCAGTTAAAAAACAGAAAGAAAGATAGAAATTAGAAAACTTATTAGAAAATCACGCGTTGATACAGTTGAGTAGTAATGAAACAAGAATGTTTGTTTGTGATTAAGACTTTGTTATGTATGACACTAAAGAATATTGAAGTAGCATGTTAGATATAACCTTAGTATGTAACACATTGACTTACGATGTGCCGACGCAGCAGTCCTCGTGTAACCAAAGAAGGCGGCAACTCACCTTCATCATCATCATCAACAGCCTTTAATAGTCCACTGCTGGACATAAGCCTCTCCTTAGAAAGGAGGGTTTGGCCTATTATACCACGCTGGCCAGACGGGTTGGTATAGGGTTTGTTTCAAGTTTTCCTTCTCTCTGCAGTGCTGTTGCTCTGCGTAGTTTTCTCCCTTAGTCGTCTCTTACGACACCCACGGGATGAATAGGGGTGGTGACACTATATTCTTAATCCGTCACCACACGGACGGACTACTCACCTTGGCGTCTGCGTTTTGGAACCTTAATAATTATTTCAAATTGTATCCATTCTAAAACTTAAGAGGTAAAAACTCTTCTGTTTTGTAATTTCTTTTATTTTATTAAATTAGTTTTAATTAGCTTTAGTTTTTGTTTTAGCCTCTGACGTATTCGAGGACGTTGTCGTAAAAGTATATAGTTATTGAAGTCACCAAGTTAAATAGTCTGATTATATAAATATTTCATTACTTTTGATGCATGTAAGTGTAAAAAAAACTTATGTTTCTAAATTATGCCTATAAATGTAAGAATTTCCTTCAAATTTTAAGTTTTGAAATAGCAGATTTAAAATTTGAATATTATGGCACATATTTTTAATCATGTTTAGTCTTTAATAGGATCTTTTTTTTATAAATAATATAATATTTTCATCAAATCATAGTATAAATAGAATTGGATTTTTTTTTATAAAATATCTTCCATACAATTTTTTAATATCCCAATAACGATTTTTCTTAATAAAAGAGTAATTGTTACGACTATTAGTCGACTTACATAAGATTGACTGTAGTCATTGAGGTCTCTTTTAGTCCATCATTTAAAAAGTAATACGATTTATTCTTTAGAACGTTTAATAAAATTATTAAAATTCATATTAATGTTGTCCCAAAATTATTACATTTCGTTACTCAGTGTTAGTTACGTGCGTATAATTCTGAACGCAGTGGTTCGAAACTGACGGGAAATAATTTTCCTAATATTGACAACATTGCTGCTTTTTATAATTCACCGTACATACAGAGGTCATTTTGTTTTCATCCGTACACGGGAGTCATTGTGTTGAATTCGCATTTGGAAAACAATACTGTCAGGGTGATAAACGATTTGAATTTCGATAAGCATATACGATTGATTGTACTATTTTATGCCCACGTCTTAGTTATAATAATATATAGACAAATAAATTCAGTTTTTGTTTACACAATAAGTGGTACTAACAGAATTATTTTTCGGGGTTATAATTTCTCAGAGTTTGTCTTCAGTTTAGTTATATTGCGTTATGTTACGAAACTGAGAAATTGTAAAGCTGAGTTTACGAAGTTACTCTAATTTGCAAAATTAATTATTATCTATTAAAATGTTATTACATTAATTTAGGGGAACAGAAGTGTAATCGTGGTACAATGAAAATGACGGGCTTGATTCCCGAACGTAACAATATGTATATTTCTGTTGAACTAAAAAAATATGATTGACTCATTATTTTATTATTTGTGTGGGTACTTGTGCAGAGTAGTCAAGTATTTAGGATATTTTTTATTTAATTATAATTCAATATTTATTTCTATTTTTGTTTAATTATCATCAATAATATTGTTATTTTATTAAGTTGATTCTCCAGTTACCAAAATATTTAAATAATGGAGCAGTACGTAACGTTGATATCTTTTTGTTACAAATTTGTTTGTTATGGAGATTTGAGACTGATATTCATTATGAAAGTTTTTTTTTAAATATTGTTATTACTATCTTGCTTATTTTTTTTCAATTTGATCTTAACGGTTCTTGACAACTTGTTTTCTTTCGAAATATGGAAGGGCCCGATTAAATTTTGACAATATTACTCCGATTATTTAATTGATTTTTTAGAAATGTGTATGATTGTTCTTAGTTGTTTTTATGTTTTGAACAATAATTTGTAATTTAACGAGAAAACTGTAATTTAATTTAATTTGTAACTACTACTAAACCTACAATTGCATATTATACTCGTACATACTGATTCATACAATTGAGTTTTTTTCATTATTTTGTAGCTGGATGGTCCCCCATAATAATAGCAATCAAGCCTTTAGGCGTAATGAGTAATTTAAATTTTTTAGCTAAAAAATTATAATATACTTAAAGAGTGCGTCCATTGGTACTTTGCTTATGGTTCCCACTCCAATGAAAATACACTTTGTACTTGTTCTTCAAGAGTAGCACTCTCTGCACTACGTCACACTAACTTAACTAAACAACTAAAAAGGCTTGGGGTTCTTTGGTCTTAATGGTATATTCGTATCGTTGGAATATTCACTCATTCCCGTCGGGTAGGATGAGCCTGATTTAGATTTCTGAGATATTATGTTTTTATTTAGATTAATTATGCGTGTTCTGTTCAGTATGTACCCTGCTTTACAATATCAGTTTCGTCACATTGATTCTCCTTTTCGTTACTTATCAGTTTATTAACAAATGGCAAATGTACATTTTTTCTGAGTATGACCCTAAAGTTTCCTTGAACTTTTCCTTTTAATTAAACCATGATCTTTTTTTTAATCTGATGGTTGTTTTTCTTTAACAATTTCAAATAAAGATTATTTATTGATCTGATATACTATTATCAGATCAATGAAGTGTCACTGCTGAACTTTTTTTAAAATAAGAACCAACTGTGATTGTTTATTCTAATTGGCTTTACTCAGGTATTAGACCTGGCGCTAGAGTTACCTTTGCTACCTTTATTTTGCATATCACTTACGTGAGTATGCAAAATATGAGGACCGAATTCCACCAATGGAAAGGTCAAAGATGTGTTAAGGAAAGGTCAAAGATTATTAATGTGGATCTTGCCGGTCAATATTCTCGTCCATTTCTTTTTTACTCTTTCTACTCTAGCACAGGCCGACAACCAAAGTATAATTCTCCGAAGGTTTTTTTTGGTGCGTTGAATCCGAATCACCGAATTAGCTCTGGTTTCTAAAATAATCCTGACCTAAAATAGCTAAAATAGCTGTTTTTGGCTATTTTTAATGTTATGTAGAATCGTAAAATATTTTTTCTTCTAAAAACTGTTAAAAACATCTTAAAGTATAGGCGTTAACCTTTTAAATCGCGTTGAGTTTGCTGAGTTTTTTCGCAGGGATATCACATTTTAAAGTTTCTTAGTTTAAAAAATCTTACAAATCATATGCTCATATTATATGAGAGAGAAAATCCATTCTCACAAATCCCAAACGCATAAAACCTAAACCTAACAACCTCAAATCTGATAACCCAAACACAATAACCTCAAGCCCTCTTATTTGTAAAGGGAATATATTGAATACATGATATTGATGATGATACCTTAAACAGAAATTATACGTAAAGTAGGCAAACAATTACTTATTTTTATTTAGACATTCGTTATTGATACATTTACATAAAGAAATATAAAATAATTCTGATTTTTTAACCGACTCCAAAAAAGGAGTCGATTCTCAATTCGCCGGCATCTTTTTTTTATGTATGTTCACTGATTACTCGAAGATGAATGGACCGATTTAGAAAATTCTTTTTGTTTCAAAGAATATACTTCCCAAGTGGTCCCATTTAAATATTATAGAAATCGGTTGAATGGTTATTAAAAAAATAACAAAAATCTAAACATTGTTTACATCGATGATATTTTCGTTTGCTCTTTATCAAAATATTGTTTGAAGTCTATGTCTTTAAATATTAATCTTTGACCTTTTCGTAACACAAATACATTGGTGGAATGGGTGGAATTTAGTCCTCACATTTGGCATACTTACTCACCTCTAGCGTCTGCACTATATATATATATATATCTAACTTAAAACTGTCTTGTTGAGCGTTGACACGTGATCCGTAAAGAACCATTATTTTGATAAAAGTTTATTAAATTATTTAAATTAGAATCTTTGACATTAGGTTAATTACAAAACTACGCGATAAACTGAAAAACTAACTAAAAATGTCCTCTTTTAGCGCATGTTTAGTCTAATTTTGAATATATTTTTAGCACATAAAGTTATTACAATTACATATATTTTAATCTTATTATAGTAATAACTGTACTACTGATTTGTCTGACTGAAATCACGAAAGTCGATATCTTTTTGTGTTCTATACATTAAATATAAATATACATAGTCATTCCGTAACATTACAATCATAGCGAGATAAAGGTGAAATGTATTTTTTAATACTTCAAGGTACTTATGTCAAGTTATAGTCAACGTTGTTATAAACGAATCCACTTTATGCATATAATAATACTTTAATGTAAACAAACCTGAATTTTGTTTAAAGCGCTGAAGTGACCCTTGAAATACCTGAGACTCGTAGAATTGATAAATTCTAAGATTAAGAGCTCAGGGTAGTGGAATTCTAAATGTCCGATATTGAAGCAATCTCCGGGCCAATCTACTAACCGCAGGTGTGTTATTTCTCGCCTGTAAAACAGTAAAGTATTAGTAAATGTGTCCGAAAATAGATTCAAGCTTTAAGTAATATGGGCCGTTAAAGAACTTTGAAGGAACAGATACCAAATATTATATTTCGATAGGGCATTGGATGCCTATCTGATTACCTTTAGTAAAATTTAAATTCCATAGTTGGTACAGGATGTTGATACTCTCCAAAAATTAAATGTATCAAAAATAAAAATCTAAAAGTAATACCGACAGAAGCGTCTTCGAAACTGGTTAGGTTAAACGGTTGGTTGTTACCGGTTGTTACTGACTAGATTACAAAGAACTAGTTTATAACTTCCTTAATACACAGCTTATAACTTTTTAGATCCATTGTTATTTATTGTGTATAGGTGAAGTGTCGTGTTAGTTAGTGTTCTACAAACTCGGTTACATTACAATCATTCAATTCGTGAAAACATGTAATTGGTATAATGTAGTATATCAATCTGACCATTATTATTTTTGTAGCTGTTGGTTTTCCTAACTGAAGTAAATAAATAAATAAACTTAATTTCTGAATATCAATCTTTCTAAAACCAATTTCTGCAAAACTCATTTATAATTTGTAAGACTCCTGCTTTTGAAATTTGTAAGAAAATTCAAGGAAGAAAAACTTACTGAGAAAGTTATTTATACTGATCGTTAGTTGACAGAGAGCAAAACTTTAGATTTCTCTTTTTTGGTAATGGGGAAAGTAGTATGAAGGAAGAAGATTACTTCATTAGTTTTTACAAACACCGCTTTACCTACTATGGTTACCTATTGTTACCACTTATCGAAACTGACAAAAAATTACTTGCCAGCAAATTCGTGCTCCGTTAGGCATTGGAATGAGCCAAGTGCAAAACATTTTACATGTGCATCTGAAGGTTCGGAAGCTGACAGTCTTTGGCTGTCTATAATATCGTGACAGGTGACAAAACCTGGGTTTACGGCTTTGAACCCGGAAGAAAAAGCCATTCGGCAGAGTGGGTCTTTCCTTTTGAAGATTTTCAGAGGAAAATTAAAAAAAAGTCGAAGCATTGGTAAAAAAATGGTTGCTTCTTTTTTCGGCAAATCAGGACATTACACTACAGTATCGCTTGAAGATCAAAGGACAGTGACTGCAGATTGGTACGTCAATATTTGCTTGCCCACAGTCTTATAAAGAGTTCGCGAAAAGCGTCCTGGAAACAATGTCCTCCTTCACCACAAAAACGCATCCTCGCCTTCCGCTAATCTAACAGAAGAATATTTGAAGGTTTCGAATGTGGAACTGATGATGCATCCGCATTACAACCCGGACCTCGCAGTCTACGACTTCTTTGTTTCCAAAAATTTAAGACAAACTTAGACGCACATGTTTTACGAACCCTGAAGTAAAGTAAGTAAGTAAGTGAATGCGTTCCATGAAGCCATAAAAGAGGTCACTAAGGAAGACTCATCCAACAGCTTTGTACAGTAGTAGCAGCGAATGGAATCATGCATTAATTGCGAGGAAATATACTTTGAAAAACAATAAGTGTATCGTAAGTTTTATATCTAGTCTTATTTATTAGAATCCAGAAACTATAAACAATAATACTACATAAAAAAAGAGTTATACCTTAAAACTATAACGCGAGTTAAATATTTTTGTAATAAACTATTATTACAAAAATATTTAACTCGCGTTAGGCAGTTGGATTAAGGGCCTAATTTAAAAAGCAGTATTGTGAGGAGGTTTCTGTCTCTGGAGTCCTAACCACCGATATCATAGTAACTATACCCGATACCGATGGAACACTATTTTTTTTTGTACATAAATACATTTAAAAATGTAATTTATATGTTTTTTAATGGAATAAAGAGAATAAAAAACTATCGATACTGTACTGTACTAAGATGAACACAGATTAAAAATCAAGGCAAGCGAAGGTGCGTTCGAAAGCTAGTATTGAAGCGCTAAATATGTAACGCTCTTAGTGGGAGTGCGACTTTGAAAACCTGAAGCCCTATACTAGCGGTGTTAATTAATGGTTTAATCAATCTCATCTCTTCTTGCATAACAATTTACCATTAATGCTTAATTTCTTATGTTGTATAATATTTTATTATACTAGCTTTTGCCCGCACCTTCTTTCGCGTATTATTTTTTCTAGATTAAATGTAGGCTATATCATACACATAAAATGGATGAAATGTAGGCTATGTCAGATACATAACATTTGTGACATATGTTGTCAGAGATGCACAAATAGATGTGCATCTCTGACAAAATATGTCCAACATTTTATGAATATTGAATGAACGCAACATATAATATCAACAAACCAACACTGGCTTAAGTACATAAATCATAATACCAATAATGCGATACTCAATAATAATTGATCAAACCCCAGACGTCATCATGTTTAACCCAAAAAATAAAATTTATAGAATAATATAGACTACAAGTACTTATATTGCAATGGGTAGGGCGTAAGTATAGTTAATTATTAAGATGTAGGTTTATGTATGTATGTAACTAGGTAAGTATTTATGTATGTATATATATTTAGTAAGTATGTATACATGTATATTTATCCCTTTGTTTCTGTCTAACTTCTCAATAATTCTCTCTTACTTTACATATATTAATCCCTAGTGCACCTAGTCACACATTGCAGCACCACCCTAAAGTAGATTGGGCAAAATTGCCTATGGCATTAAGTCCGCCATTGTACAACTCATACTTGTGCATAAAGTATCGACTAAATAAAATAAAAAAAAATCGAGATGTGAGCCCTAACCTGAAAAACAAAACCTAGCTACAATCTTTACAAAGTTGACCTGTTCTATGCTCCCAGTTCTATATATTTGAGTAGAATATATCATAATAAAAATAAATACTGAATGCTGTTCTCATCTCTATGCAGGGCCACCTCAGTAAGAGCTTCTCTCTCTGGACCGCATCCAACGGAGAGCGACTCGAATCGTCGATAGCCCAAATATCTCCGATCGGCTCGATCCCTTGGTGTTACGTAGAGATGTCACTTCACTCTGCATTCTCATTTTCATCCTCATCAAATGGATAGTTGGCGCTCCACTACTGTGCGATTTTTGAGACAATAAGCGTACTCCTTCCTAAAAGGCCGGTCTTTTAGGAAGGAGTACGCGTTTTTGACTCCTGAGTTGCAGACGTTCATGGGCGGCGATGGTCACTTTCCATCAGGTAAACCGTCTGCTCGTCTGCCCCCTCTAACATATAAAAAAAAACTTCTCAAAACCCTTAACCATCAAAAAATTTCGTGTGCATAACTACTATTATATAAATATTTGTATGATAAACTACGTTATAATTTTACAGCCTTGCTAATAAACTGTTACACACGACGGTTACACAGGGTTATAACAAAAATATTAATAAAAAAACAATATTTGATGTTTTGTTTGTATACGTCTACGGCCTTACCAATAAACTTTTATACAAGACGTATAACAGGATTTTAACAAAAACGTTACCAATAAAACAATATTTGACGTTTCGGTTGTATACATCTGGTGCACAGATTTTTGGAAACAATGAGATTTTAGACAATCGTTATTCAGCCCTCGGCCCTTGTTTAGCGAACGTGTAACTTATAATAATTAGTTGCTTACGTTATTTTTAGTTTGAAAACCTTGGACTATTTACAATATTTCGATATTTTTGATGAAATTGACAATGAAGAACCACCAAGAAAAAGAAAATGTTACAAAAATCGATATGATCCTTTCTGTTTATCTGAAAATGAGTTTCGGTCAAAATATAGGTTCAGCAAACGATATGTCAGAAAAATTTGTGAATTAATTAGATGCGATATTGAACAGCAAGCTCGAGGTAGTGAACCGTCAATAGAACTTCAAGTTTGTACTGCTCTCAGAACATGGGCTCGACAAGAAGTTCAGGATAATGCAGCGGATATTCATGGACTAAGCCAGCAATCCATTACGAATGTGTGCCGCAGAGTAGCTTTAGCCTTGGCTAATAAAGCATCAGTATTTGTATATATGCCTACAACAGCAGCAGAACAAGCAGAAGTTGTGTTAGGCTTCAGAAACATTTGTGGTTTGCGACAAATAATAGGTGCTATTGACTGCACCCATGTGAGAATAAAAAAAGTAAGTGGAGATAGCGCTCAATACTATATTAACAGAAAAGCCTTTTCATCACTGAATGTCCTGGTAGTTTGTGTAGTCCTGGCATTTACGGATTAGAGATATAGTGGCGCGCTGGAGAGGCAGCACCCATGATGCAAGAATATATAGAGAGAGTAGATTAAGACAACGATTCGAAAATGGAGAATTTAATGGCATTTTATTGGGTGATTCAGGCTATGGCTTAACAAATTATTTATTTACACCACTACAAAATACTTGTAATGCCAAGCAGGAAGCTTACAATCGTTCTCATATATTAACAAGAAACACAGTTAAAAGATGCTTTGGAATTTGGAAGCAAAGGTTCAGATGCCTTTTACATGGATTCAGCGTATCACTCGAAAATGTTAAGTTATATATAGTAGCACTTGCTGTATTGCATAACATTGCTATTGATATGATAGAAGATATGGATTTTCCAGAACCTGATACAACTGAGGATACTGTGAGACAGAATGTGCCAAGAAATATACTTGACAGTGTTACTGGTCAAGAATCAAGGCGGATATATATTGAAACACATTTTTAATTATACTTATTTATTTTTATAAATTGTTTGTACTTTTCAAATAAATTTTCTTTAAAGTTCATGAAATTATTTGTATTATCCATTTTTGTCGAATATATTAACCGTGCTTAACTTAGTTGTGAGTGTGACCGAGATAAAACAAAAACCTCTGAACTAACGATGTGCAGAGATTGACTTTGACAACTTACATTAGTTGCGTTCTAAAAATGTATGTAGGTATGGAACGAGCGAAACAACGATAATTTAATTTTTCTTATTTGTAATAGACCGTAAAAACAATATATTTGGAGATAACATGATGTATTCAATAACAAATACATTTTATATAGCCATAAGTATAAAGTTGTGAGCGTATTATATCCAATGAAATAAAGTCATTGAATTAACGCCGTACGAGTTTCGGAACGCCCCTTTGAATGTTGCCAGTAGTTTTTGTTATACGTAGGCGATAACTATCCATTGTTTACACACTGATTATTAGTAAGGTTAATGTGTAACGCCTATTCACAGCCTATACATTGTACAACTAAACATTTGTCAAACAGATGTGTAACTTATTTTTATTAGTAAGGCTGTATTATGTATTTATACATTCTATAGTTACTGGCACGGATCTTGAGCGCTCGGCTACAGAGTGGCGATCGCTTTGCGAATCGTGCACTTATTGCAAAATAAAATACACACTCCTTTATCATCATTATTTTTTTTCTTAGATAGAATAGAATTATATCAAGAACTTACTACGTACAGTGAAATTAGTGTCGAGAAATTTTTGCATATGTAGTGGTGTGTATATTACTCAGATCTTAGAACGCGTTTCCACTATATCGTTCTGGCCTATACAAAAATGTTTCGATATCCTAACATTACTATTTAATTTTATACTTATCCGTAGCAACACTCTGATTTTTGTTTTCAATAAAAACAAGTTTTTATTTTAAAGAAAAAGGTTTTGACTTTATAAAAAAAAAGGTGTGTGTGCGATTCACACACGATAGAAGTGAAACTTCAAAGAGGAGAGACCGATATTTAATTTTTTTTTTTTTTTTCCTTTCATCTAGGTTTTTAAAACTCTAAGGGGTCTACGGGGGGGTCAAAATTTTTGTTATTTTTGGCCTAGGACGCACCGTTTCCGAGATATTTCAATCTAAAGCAAAAATCGTCTCTTGATAGTGGAAAGTGGAAACACGCACAAAACCAGAATACAAACGCAAAAATTTATCCAAGCTAATTTACCTGTAACTTCTCTTACCATAGTTACGAAGTAAAGTTACTAAGCAAATTCTTATTGATTAGTTGGTAAGACAAAATGGTTATAATAAAAAAAGCTTTTATTACGGTGAAGTCAATAAAATTGTCACTTCTATAGTGACACTTTCCATCAAATAATTTCGGGGCCAATTTCCGAAATTGTGGTAGATGGGGAAACTGGTCCTCATCCGAAAGGAGGGACGCCTGGCGGTCTCACCATCCGCCTACCGGCTCATAGTGTTGCTTAACGTGTGCAAACTCTTCGAAAGAGGCGCCTCGACAAGCATCTCATCGGGGAGACATACTATTCACAGAAAAAAAAACGTAAATAAATAAAGATAAAAAAAAAATAGTCATAGTGGGGCCGGATCTCGCGGTTTCCGTCAGGGGCTCTGACGTCAGAGGGGGCAGACGATCTTTTAGGAAGGAGTACGCTCTTTTCTTGAAGGTTTGAAGGTCGTATCGGTCCGGAAATACCGCAGACGATAACCCGTTCCACAGATTGGTTGTGCGGGGCAAAAAGTATCTCGAAAAGCGCACAGTAGTGGAGCGCCAACTATCCAGGTAATGAGAATGAATATTTTTCCGTGTGGCACGATTTCGGAAATTTGCGGCTGGTATTAGTCCGAACAATTCCTCGGAGCACTCTCCATGATATATGCAATATAGAATGCAGAGTGAAGCCACATCTCTAAGTAACGCCAAGGGATCGAACCGATCGGAGATGTTTGGGCTATCGATGATTCGAATCGCTATTCGTTGGATGCGGCCCAGAGGGAGAAGCTGGTACTGAGGTGCCCCTTTTTTTTTCCGTGCGGAAATCCCTTCGGATACCACCTGTCGGTGGCATGTCGGACTCGAACCGACTAAAACCGCACGCCGTCTCGGGTACTGATAGCCGGGGAACCAGGTATACCCTAGAAAGGAAGTCCCTGGTGCCCCGACATACCTCGGGTCATCTACAGACGAGTAGACAATCCCCCGTGTGGGAACCCCATGTTCCCTGTGCTCCCTGGAGGCGAGCGCGTTTCGTAACGTGCTCGCTGCCACCCCGGCCTGCTTCTGCTAGGGTGACAGATGGCCTCACCTGTCACCCCTAGGCCTGCGCTTATGGAGGACGGAGGTCGTTCTGCGATATAAGTATTTTATTAGTCAATTTAGCAGAGCAATATAGTACAAGCTCTGCTTAGTTTGAAACTACATGGCGTTGTGTGTTCGATATCCAAAAATAAAAAGAATTTCATTAACGGCGATTCAGTTTTCGCCCGGTTTATATTGCATAAGATTTTTTGCGACCTCTTCAACAATAATTGATATATTTATTTCGGTCAATTCATATAAAACTATGATGAATTATACACCTAAACTTTACACAGGAAAAATAATAATAATAACTTCACACATCACACACACGACCGTCTGATGCCAAACTAGGCCGAGCCTGTGCTATATTAACCAGACTGCTGATAAACATACTTATTTATATATTTCTAATTACAAACATATCATATATAAATCACACTATTGGTCAAACCGTACAAAGTTCGGTAGTTTTTGAGTTTATCGCGTTCATACAGGCAGACAGACGCGGCCGGGGCACTTCATTTTATAATATTTAAGGACAATAAGATTACGATTTTGGAATTGATCATTTGATGATTTGTATGTCGTTTTAGGATTGGCCTCATAAGGCCGGTACGGTTTATTTTTTTCCGAAACTGGCAGACTTACGGTGGCTTGAGTGAGATCCAGTGTAAAGGCGTAAAGGGACAGACAGGTTTCTATCCTTCAAAAATATTGAGAACAAACATATTCTGCCTAACCGTCCAATTAACTGAATATGTATTTAAAAAGATTTTCTACCTGATAATACGGCGCTATGAAAATTGCATAATCACCACTATTTTAGACCTAATGTTAAGGGTTCATTAACGATGTTAAAAATTTTCAACTATTTAATCATCACCTCAAACAACAAAAGCAAGATATTTCTCTTGCTTTCTACAAAAGTTTAAATAAACAATATCAGGAAAAGGTAAACCTACCAAGTATCAAGTATAACTTGAGTTTTAAATATACGAGTAGTAAGTGGGTCACTTGAGCTTATCGCTAAAGACTTATCGCTAAGGGCTTATCGCTGCAAAACTCTGCAGGTAATATTATACGTTGGATGGTGTTGACTGAAATTATTTAAAATATAAAGTTACCAGTCACTTTAGGCATTAAGGACACATTCACTGGACTCACAGCTTGAGTTCCATACCTCGTTTTGTAACTATAAGTTGTAGGATACAATACTACTACATTACTCTAATTTTGTAAGTCTTTGTAAAATAATTAATAATAAATAATTTTGTGAAATGCCTTTGCAACTTAAAACGTATACATCAGGTGGCTCCGAAAACAGTAAATTATTCTTGAAGTACAATAGTTTTCTCTATTAAACCATAAGTTACTCGTATACTCGCTGTCAGGTATTTTCGTCAAGTCAACGCTCATTATTTTACTGCATGTTACCATATAAAGTCATTATAAAACTAGTGAAGTGGTTTCACGGCAATCGTCGTATTAATGAACCTAACACATCGTATTAATGATACCTATAAAATTTGTATATACCATGGTATGGCCTTAATTAGTTTGAGTGCTGCCTTCTATGTGATTGCTAAATTCTGGATCGCGTGCTTTCATGAGTCACAAAGAGAAAAGGAGAAGTAGTACCCCTAGTACCACTCTATTTTTAGTCGCACAATGTGTGAAAGCATTGTCTTCGGGAACAGGCATGAAAAGAATGATAGATTCGTAATGTTTACGAAAATGAATATAAATCAAATGTTAAAACATTTTCACAATATTAAAACATACTTATATACAGATGAATTTGTTAGAATATTTAGTATTGTTATATTAAAACTAACAAATCCTATCTAATATTGTATATATAAATTTAGCTGTTGGTCTGTTACATTTTCAAATCTTAAGTAATAACTTAACTGATTTTCTTAAATATATTTTAATTGTCGCGATTGAAGCCGTGGAAACCTCTAGTGCTAAAAGATGTAATAATTTGATTTACTTATACCTACGGCGTCTTTTTTATGTTTTATAAATGATTATTGGTTGAGTATTAAGACATGAAAGCTTGTGCTTTCATGCAAGCAGCACTGCAGCATTGCAAGCACACTTTCGCATGTACGAGTATAATATTCAATATTCTACGAGTATTATCTTCAAGCACTTAAAACACCAAACTGTTTGTTATGTTTTGTTGAAGCAGTTTCATTAATTGTAGGTGCCCCTTGATGAGTGTCTTTTAAACATGATAATAACTTTTCTTAGTCAATGTTATCTGTCGTTATATTGAATATTAGGACACGATAAAATATAAGTCGCTTCGCTAGATGCAAGGTACACTGATATATGTAAAATACAAGAACTCCTGTCGTACTTACTTCATTCCTCTTATCCAATATGCTGTAAAGCCGGCTGTGCAAATGAGTTCAAATTCTGATTGTTGACACCTTGCCTTCGATATGTAATCTCCCAGGGAGCAAGGTTGGTTTCCTATTGCATCAGATGAGTTTTTACTCGTGTACTGAAATCCTGGTGTTACTGCCTTCACCGCACTGTACAACATCACTACCTGTAGCAAAGCTGCAAACAAAAAGAAATATAATTAGCATCATCAATATTTTAAAACTAGATTAATAAATGAACAAGAAAAAAAATGCTTGGATGCCCTTATTATTAGATCATTTAACAAATTTCCACTAAGTCTCACAGTTTATTTTGATAATGTTCCATTCCGTAATTAAATTAATTTTTTTTTTTTTGACGTAATTGATAATAGTTTTTTTTTTGACTCTCCCGAAGTCAACAAAAGTTTACAATGACCCCGAGCAGCAGCAGCGATTCTGAAATCGGCTGCTAAATTCACGTAGTCGCTCTCAGTAGTCCCTCGAACTAAAAGATATGTTTTTATGGTTTTTTATCTTCTTACGGTAAAAAAATGTGGCAGCGCTATAAATCATGAGGAAAGGTGCTCGACGTCGTGTCTCGTCGTGTACACGAAGGGCATGTAGAAATCGAGGGGTTAACGAAAAGAAGTTTACATGTTGCACAAAGAAATGGTTGTGCATTTAAGGTGCAAATGTCATATACAAGATGTTGAACAAAGGCAAATATGTTAACGATTTTCGCAGAAATGTTTGCACTTATGTATTTGGGATCCAACCGATTTTGTGCAATTTCATATATATTTATGAAAAAGGACTCCATCCAGTGAAGCAATGTCAAAAGTAGTCGATCATATGTACTGGAAAGATCATAGCAAAAGAGATTGGCGAAAGAAATGGTATTCATTGTCCACCTTGAAAAGGGCAAATCAATTTTGCAATCTCGGTTTTGTCCTAAGATCTTGCCTACCTTTCGAGAGTTTGTTGAGCTTAAGTGTTGTTTATATTGCTTTTGTTCGTAGTTTACTGGAATACGGTTGTCAGATATGGTCTCCCTGTTATGCGATACACAAAGGCAGTCTGGAGCGCATCCAGAAAAAGTTTATAGATCACCTTAAATTTAAATTTCGTCACAGCTTTCATGATTACAGAGATAATTGTCGTATTTACAATCTACTAACTCTCGAGGAAAGGCGTATTCTGATGGATATGGGGTTACTCTATGACATTTTGCGAGGACGGATCGATTGTCCTATGCTTTTAAATAATATTAAGTTTAATGTACCCAAGAAACGCACTAGACACACTACACTATTTTGCACTTCATTTCACTCGACTAATTACGGTAGAAATGGTGTAATATCACGTTTACTCGACTCTTATAATGAACACTTTAATAGTGTGGACATATTCATCGGTTCTAAGGATAATTTCAAAAAACGAGTTTCGCTTAAATTACTATCATCATAGGCTTTCTAAAATGTCAACATCATTGCACTGAATGGCTGGTTTTATAGGTTTCTAGATGATATAAATCTTTTAATGTATTTATTCAATTAAATTTTTCTCCCATATTTATATATATTAGTATGTGTTATTTATTTCAGTTATTTATTATATTTCATATTTTACATCTATTCACCCATCTTTTCAAGGTTTACCAATCAGTTTTAATATTATGTATTGTTGTTAGCATATTCATCCACTCTTTGTATCTACCGTGGATAACTTTTATTGGCTACTCATGTAATCATAGTTTACTACCTAGTTAAGAATTGCAGCTGTTGTTATCCCTAAAAAAATAAAAATAAAAAATAAAAAAATAAAATATTATAATATTGCTCTTTTATCTTCTTGGCTATTATATCTGGTCTTAAAGAAAACGAAAATTATCTTTCACTAAAGTGCGTTGGTAATAAAAAAGAGGGAAGTTGCTAATAATAATAATAATTTATTTATTGGAGTAACTGAGACTCAAAGATGTTAGTAACAATTTGAACTTACAGCTGTATTAGTACGTTTTATAAATTAAGGTTATAAAATTAAGGTTAGACTCATTGCCTCGCAGTAACAGGTGCGGCTGAAACCCCGATGCAATGAGTCATATACGGACAATCTAGTCTACTCGCAATCATGTTCAGTATGCTGTCGGAGCTGACCCGATAGCCATTCTTGTTTTCTTCTTATTTGGCATCTTTAGACTTACATCTGTTTCCAAACTTAAATAACTTAAAGAAGTCTATTTCTCGAATGTGCTTCACTTCTGAAAGGTTTAGAGGTCTCATTTGCAGGAAAAGGTGATGTGCTGTGGGGAAACGCTGGACCAAGTATGTTTGAGTTATGGAAAACTATGAAATACCCAATAGAATTAGTCCTCTAAACTATTTTTAAGTGAAAAATAGAGTATTTCTTTATCGGGATGAAATTTTTTAGCCTTCCCCTCTTATTAGCAAAATAAACACATAATAATAAAGTGGTATTTGCCGATCAGATCTTATCTATTTTATACGCAATAAAATCTCTATTATCTTCTTTAATCTATACAAATAAATAAAATTGGAGTGTCTGTTTGTAATATTAAAATAACCGCTTTTTACTAAATGCATATATTATGAAAGTTTACACGGTACATATGCCAAAATAACATTTTTTACAATTTTTGTCTGTCTGTCTATCTGTCTGTTTGTTCCGGGTAATCTCTGAAACGGCTGGACCGATTTCGCCGGGACTTTCACTGGCAGATAGCTGATGACATAAGGAGTAACTTAGGCTACTTTTTTTATAACCCGCGGTTATAACAACAAACGCGGGTAACACCGCGAGTCTCAGCTAGTAAGGAATAAAAATTGATTATTTAAGATAACCAAACGTAGTGTAGGACGCCCACAAGCCAGGTGGAGTGACGATTTGCGCAAGATAGCTGAAGGAGCTGGATGCGCGAAGCCCAGAATCGATCTAAGTGGCGTTCATTGGGAGAGGCCTATGTCCAGCAGTGGACCGCGATAGGCTGATGATGATTATGAAAAGACGAGACTGATTAGAAATGGTGGGCCAAGGCTAGCCACCAAGGGCGTCTCTCTGGTGGTCGAGTGCATTGAGGCTCTGGATATGAAGGCCCTCTTATTTCATGGGTCCCGTCGTAGTCCTCCCCCTGGTGCCTCTATCGTTGTCAACTGGGCCCTCGTACCGGTTCAGGCCCAAATGAAGTATCTGGGCCTGATCCTCGACGTGAGGTGGATCTTCGACAAGTACTTGCGAGAGCTGGCTTCAAAGCTGGTCGGCGGCAATAGTGGCAGTCGGTCCCCTCTCCCTCCCTCCCCCGAGGAGATACGCGAGTGGCGTGTACTTCGGGAAGTACTTGCACTGGGTCGCTAGGAGGTAACTGAGTCCCATCTGTCACCATTGCGATTGCAGTGAGGACTCGGCTCAGCACACGCTGGCAATTTGCCCGGCTTGGGCGCCGCAGCGCCGGGTCCTGATTGCAGTCATCAGGGGGGAACTCTCACTACCGGCCGTCATACGCTCCATGGCCAATAGTGACAGATATCTTACCGCGATCGCATCCTTCTGTGAAGACGTCATCTAGCAGAAGGAGGCCGCGGAGAGGGCTCGGGAGGATGACCTCATTAATAAAGTTATTTACTGTTATTTACTAAACTTGATAGTTTATAGAACTATATAGTGTTGTAGTTTTGCTGATATAGACAGTACATATATTTAGATTCCTTCACAGTACCACTGTACAGTACAGTGATAAAAGTAATTGATTGAATACTCATTCGTTTTAAAATATCCATATTTGTACTGTGGGTACATTTACCGCAACTGTAGTTTTATATGCCCACGAGATAAATAAACTGTATAAACCAGTCCAACATTGTTGGATCGATCACCATGGGAATATGAAAAGGGTTTGTTACTGTCCATTTTATGCTATCTTTTTTTGCACCTTACGAATAAATAGATCTGCAGTATCTCAAAATCTACAACGTTATTGTCGGTTATAAAGGAGGAGAATAAATTATGCTGTCATGGAAACGTCTATTAGCAGATGCTGTCAATAGAAATATTTAGTAGTTCTGGTATAACTACACATTTTCCTAAATCCCGTAAACAACTTTAGTGTTTTCTCAAAGTAAAAAAACTCGCTACATTTGTACCTCACGTACGAGATTGTAACCCTTGATGAAAGTAACAACTACTTGTAGCACACTATGGATGACTGCGTGACTTATTCACGTAAAGTATGTAACCAATAGGTCGTACTATTTTTCACATCAATTTATGCTAAAGGTGCCGAGTTTAATTAGTGAGGATGATGGAACCAAAGTACAATACATATTATAGCTAATCTTTATATATATAATTCTTCTGTGAGTGTGTGTATGTCACTGAACTTCTCTCAAACGACTGGACCGATTTTGATGAAATTTTTTGTGTGTGTTCAAGGGGATCTGGGAATGGTTTAGATTCACAATTTTGAATGGTAAGGGTGACCCATCCCTATTTTTTTTTTGTTGCAATACAACGTTTGCCGGATCAGCTAGTTATATATATATATTTAATCTACCTACCTATATCGCTAGGCAAAATCGTACAATTTTAAGATAGAAATGACTTTTGTCTTCCGACTTTGTTGACACCAAAGTTAAATGCAGTATTTATTAAAGGACTTTTTTTTGGGCTTTTATACTGTTATACTTAGTGTTAAGACGACAAAAGTCGATGTCTGGCAATGACGCGATTGGTACTCCTTTATAAAAGTTTCCTTATACCTAAGTTCGCAACTGCGCAAGTACTACTATATAACTTTTGTAATTACGAAGCAGCATTGCAATCAAAGTATCAAAGTTTGCTACATGACGTTACATTTGTCACACAGTTTACCAGTTTTTAACTTATAATTATACACACATAATTAAAAATTAATGAATAAAAATTAATGTAATGTAATCAAGATATGCCATGAATAAAGGGTGTTTTTATCAGCGCCGTTCGGCAGTTATATTCTGTAAATTATACCCGTTTTGTTACGACACTTTTTGTGCTACCACTATCAAAGTAATGTGAGGTCCTCTATGATCTCACTATTGAAGCTTAGAAATCTTTCAACATCAATTCCTGTGAAACCGATATACAAAAATACAATATATATATAGAGATATTGAAGTAGAGATAAAGAGATAATATGTCGAACTC